GCCTCGTCACACAATGTTGGCCGAAGTAGGTCCAGGCTGGAAAAAGCCTGAGGCGGCCAGACTAAAACATGCACTAATGTATGAAGTCTTTGGTTGTTGGTTTGAGCCATGTGAGGCGGTGCAGACTGGCCGGTTGGGGTCTGCAGAACAAGAGGAACAAGTGGTGGGGGATTCTAGGTGATATGGCTCAGAACCAATGTCAGTGGCGCATATGTATCCCCACACACATTATCCTAATCCTAACGACACTATACCGAATCTCACCATTTTCTCATTCTTTTTTCGTACTTTATATTTCTTTTGACTGAGTTTTCTTATCTTCATCTTGCGCCTCACTGCCTTTTTACTTGATGTACTGATATGAGGTGTGGCAACTCGGACCATTGGCAGTAATGCCTAGTCCTATGTTGATATTGATGATGATGATGGAAGACCTTTATTCGAACTCACGCAGCTGTATGGTGGTTTGTAGAGAATTTTCATCTGAATTGACTACAACTAGTGGTGTCCACCAGGAATGCTCACTATCGTCGTTCCTACTTAACTTCGTCATCGACCTACTAATGGACATAACCTAAGGTACGTCTTACTTCACAAGAATTAATCTTTCCATTGGAGGCTATCTGACTGACTTGGAGTATGCAGATGATATTGTCCTGTTGGGTGAAGACGCTGACGAAACGCAGGTCTCCTGACGACTGAGAAATCTGAGTATGTTTGGCATGCGTTTTGCACCTGTCAAATGTAAATTGATGGTCCATAGCTGGTCTGCAACCACTCCCGGTTTAACAATAGGGAGTGAAGTGAAATGCGTCGAACACTTCATTTACTTGGGGAGTTACTTCGGCGCGAACGGGCTGGTTGTTGATGAAATCTCAGCTCGGATACAGAATACCTGTTTATCATTTGCCAACATGAATCACCTTCCATGCCAGTTTGCAGGATATCTGACAACCTATTAAAGGATGAGTATACTGCACTGCAGTTTGTCCTGTCCTATTGTACGACTGTGAGAAATGGTCGTTAAAAATAAGTGTGAAGGTACAAGTTTCATAACACAGGTTTCTTCACAGCATTGGCTACGGATGGTGGAATCACCGTGTGAGTAATATCGAGGTCAGGCAAAGGGTACTAGGCAAGGAAGGGAAGGTGGTCGATGAAGTTGTGGACTTCCGTTGACTGCAGTAGCTTAGATATGTGTTGCGCATGCCTGGCCACCAGCTGCCTTAGTGTGCGATGCTAGAAAAATTTAGATTAGGTTGGAAGAAAACTAAGGGTGACCAGATCAAGACGTGGGACAAATACATGAAGTCACTCACTGGTGGTATTAGTTATGAAAAGATGTAGACTACCTGAGTGCAGTCCCCATAACCCTAGGATTAAATAGTTGGAAACCTTTGGTGATATGGTTGAAAATCGGTTGCAGTGATGCAGATATATTCACTCTTTGACGTCTTCCAAAGCTTGAATATTTTCACTAACTTTCGTTTTCAAATTCTAACTCCTCCCATACACACTTTTGTCTGCTTTGATGAGTTTCTCTATCCACTTGTTCTCCGCATGCTACTGTGAAGTGTGGTGACTTGAACCAATGCACTTCTTTGTGAGGTTCTATGTTGATTTGCCTCAATGTCTGTTTTAGGAGAATTCACCTTTAGCTTTATCCTTATTTCAGTCAGTGAGTGCCTAAGTTGTGACCAGGAATAGACAGGGCTCTATGATGATTCTGGCAGAGTGCAACTATCAAGTATTATTATCTAAGCAAAGGACAAGAGCAGGGAACCCGAAAAACCCAGGCAGGTTTGAAGTATTGTTCCCAGTGTACCCACCAGCTATTCATCTTACTTCAAGTTCGGGAACACAGGCATACTAACTGGCATCCCTCACAAGCCTTATTTCCTGATGTGAAGGCGGCATCCAAATTTCTGGTCGATAAATCTTGTTACAATGCTTCAATGCAAGAGATACCGAGTAAGCACAACACCTGTATATGAACACCTTTCGGCATGTTAGAGCCCAAAGAGGAGTATTGGTTGAGTTGTGGACTTAGGTGGTGTCCGAGAAGGGCATCCGCTCTCTATTTGATTTTGCCAGTGAAGTGCTTATGACGGCTTTTGTCTTCCTGTCTAACTTAGCAAGGATTGACTTTATCACACGGCACAGTTCGATCAGGTGAAGACATTGACAAGAGGTATTCTGGAAACCCAAAATGTTTGTAATCGATTTCGCATCACCCAAATGCAAATTACTACAGGACTGGTCTGTGCTGATGCTACGTCAAACAACAAAGAGTGAAGCGGTTGACGGCGTCGACCATCTCACTTAACTGGAAGGTTGAGTCAATAACCGAAGAGATTCGCAAGAATATAAAAGGCCTGCCCGAGTTACATCATCTATGGGGTCGGCACGATATCCGGCTACCTGTGCAGGGTCAAGCGTACTGCACTACAGTTCACTCTTCTGATGTACAGTTTTGTGAAACAGCCAATTAAGGTGGAGAATATAACAATACTTCAGGAGTTCAGTAATCACCACTTAGGAGTCAGGCGTAGAGTTTTGGGAAGAACAGGTAGGCCAGTTGATGAGGTTGTAAACCTTTCATTAACTCAGATGGTTGGAACATGTTACACATGCCTAGTGACCATCTACTTCATCACACAATGTTAGTTGAGGAAGATTTAGGCTGCAAAAAGTTAAACGACAGTCAAACTAAAGCATATACCAGTCCATGAAGTTTCCAACTGTTGTTCTGAGTCGTGTAAAGGAAATCCAGGCTTCGAGGTGGGGGTCAGTTATTAGATACTCTACGTGATATGCCTTAGAATTGATCGCCGTGGCGCAGATGATTACACAAATAACCTTCATGACTTTTTAACACATACTACTTTCCACCTTATTTCTCGAGTGTTGATCCTTTCTACCTTAATGTGCTGATATGAGGTGTGGCGATGTGGTTCAGTAGGCAGTAATGCCAGGTCTCAAGTCGATGCGGACAGACTCACTGATCCATCTGACGCTTCTAACGACTTACAACTCTTCTAACTAGAATCTATTTATCTCACCTTTCTTTTTACTTTATTGCTTATCCTTGCTTTCAAAATTGTACCCCCTACAGAACTAAAACCTAACAACGATGTGCATCAAGTCAAACTACCTAAAAGGGAAAAACATTCAGGAAATAGAGATATCCCATCTTCAATAATAACAGTATATGAATGCAATTACAAAATAGAGGTCAACTAAATATATCATGCATTTGTTACAAACTTGAGCATACGGATTCTCAAATACGACTTCGATCGCCTGCTTTTATGTATCACTTAATACTAGTAATCATGGAGTTTTTTATACACACAATCCATACAATAATTTCTGTTAAGGTAAATAAGTATAGTAAGAATCGAAACGGTTTCGTTTCGTTGACCACGAGCATAAATTGTCACAGTTTATCCTGCAACTCCATAAGACCCTTAAAATGAGCGAATCTGCGATTTTACTCAACATAAAATTTGTGAAAATAAAACGACTTAACCACAATCGGTGTTTAAGTGTCCGAGAGCGATGTGCGATGAGTTGAAGCAACAACAACACTCCACAGAGAACAAGTAGACTAAACAATAAATATGGTTTCCCAGCAAGTGCGCAAATCGACACCACGCCACTAATTCACACTACTAGTTTTGAAATCACAAACCAAATGAAGAGCATAAATTGCATAAGAGATCTACCTCCTAACATAAACAAAGTTTATATATATATATATATATATATATATATATATATATATATATATATATATATATATATATATGCCATTATTGTAAGCAGCATGTAAGTTGAAACCCATTTTGGACAGGGAAACATCGTTTCACACTTTTTTGTTAATCACTTTCAGGCAACTGAAAGGACCCACAAAACTGGAATTTGGGAATTTAAATAATAATCAATAGCTGTGACGAATAGTCTGAATCAAATGCCAACCTTGTCGACAAAACCAATTCAGTAAAAGTGGCATTTCAAAATCGGTCATGATAAGTTCTTGAACAAACTACGTAGTAAGAGATTGGTAAGGTTGTTCAGATTTCATATTTAAGCTAAAAGTTGTGCTTACATTGCTTTAACTGTGGTGGGAAAGTCATCTAACACAACTTTATGTTTGTTTCATAGTAACAGCAAACTTGGACCTTAAAAGGGGCGACAGTGATTTGAATCAAGGGATGTGCTAGCTTCCAATATTATCAATGCCAAGTTAGTGTGGGGTGATATTATTTTGTCCCAGGTCTTGCACAAACACGGAAATCAGAACTTGGATGTCTCCTGTTTATGCTGATCTCATATGTAATGTTTGGACTACCAGACAGCTGCTTTTGTACCCCACTCAAGCCAAGGTGGTCTAAGAATATGACACCACTTTGCGACTAAGTTACATGTCCTACAGAAGGAATCCTGACCCTCGTAAGAATTAGGCTAGAGGTCGATCATGAGTTCGGCGGTTACGTGAAAACCTCAAAACTCTCGGGGTCTATAAGCCGTGAAGTAGACGTTTTACTTTGCCGTCAATATCAATCACAATTGTATGTTGTTCTTACATGAGTAAAAAAAAAAAAACTAATCCAATCATTTGCAACAGTACACATTACCGAGAACTATATGATTAAAATTAACCTGTAGACTTTACCTTGTCAATGAACTCGGCCCAAAATTAGATTTCTCATAACAAACATGTTTATTATGAATCTCCAAATATCATGATCAGTTTAAGTAGCCTAAGAAAGGGACGTATCTCATCAATGCGATCGTTAGCCGGTGATGTAATTAAAAGTAACAAAAAGCTTTTCGAACGTCTATTTATCTTTAGATAAGTTTAATTCACTGTCACAAATGATTTTCCACTTCAGAATCACTCATGATATGAAAGTGGTAAAAGTGCAAGCAGCAAATAAATACAGCAACCAAAATGCGTTACACTAACGCAACATTTGAACTATCCACGAACATACCTGTACACTCCAAGTATATTTGCTCAACTTTTTAGTCAACGTGAAGTAAAATTCCATTGTTTATAGTTTACATAAAATTGATTCCAGCGGACAATTAAACATTTTACGGAACCGATACGCGAACGCTCGTAACTGCGCTAAAATATGAAAGTCATCAGCTAAAACAAGCGTGGCACTGAATTTCCAATGAATCCTAACAATCATGTGCGTAACATTTACTTTATTCATAATCACACTGTACTACTTCGTAAATTCCAAAACCTGTTAGTCTCATGTGATCTGTATGCTCAGGAATTTGCATCATTTTCGATTCAATAGAATCCTAATGTAAAAGATTGTGTATTTGAGCCACTATTTTGAGGACAGACGAAAGTTTCTCATCACCACCACCTCAGTTCTGTGGCGCGGATTCTTGGCACTAGAACACGCACTTGAATTCAATAAATGCATAACCCACCTAAATACTTTTAAAGTAGTTGACTACGCATCAAAGGTTCTTTCGGCCTTGCGAGTCTAGCTTCAACGTGTTGTCCTGCATCCGTGAAAAACAACTATTCCATGTCTCATTTTCATTGGTTACTAGCTGTTTGCTCAGAGTACATAGTCCAAGAAGGTAGAATCAAATTAGTAACAGGTTTTATTGAGTGAGATTTTATCACCAGATTGTGGTGTTTTGACGTTGCTTCGAATCCATCGGCGACAGACATACACACGAGTTTTTTCATTGATGACATCATGCTAGGTTTCCCTTTTATTTTTGCCGATGTGGTAATATATTAACTGTGGAACAGTAGTACCTCCAGTTTCAACTGTGAAGTGTTCTTCGGGCAATGCCGGATCTTCGTTTCTCACGTAGTTATCCATCTCATCCTCGGGACAGGACTTCATCAGAATCCTGAAGTAGTAGTGCTATTCAAGCCTCTCGCAAACTGGTTCGTGTTGTTGCCACTGGGCTTGGTGGGCCATCACGAGAAGAAGCAACCCAGCTGGTCAGGTTACGTGTGGGCCGGCGCTTTGTGGGAACTACCGTTACCGTACAACCCCTTAACTGTTTTCTCGTCCACTAAAAGGATCGTTTCCCCAGGGATGGATCCTGATAGACACTGGGACAAAGGTTGGTGCGAGTCCACGGGCAGTTGATGAGTGACTCAGAGGGATATTCTGTTGACAGCGACTCGTGTTTCACGACCTGTGGTTAAGTAGCCACAACCCTAGGCTTGAACCCCACCGCCTGTTTTCCAGTGTCCTCACTTTCGCTATCATAACCACTAGCACTATCAGCATGGATCTCCTAAGACTCGGACATTGGCTGTTGTATGTCGGCTAGCACTAGTTCAATACAAGTTTCAACACAAGCCTTTCCATCTTTAATGTTCTCGCCGCCAACAACCTTTGTCAGTTCTGGTGATTCTGGCACCACTACTCGGCTGTTATGCCTCCATCATTAGATCATTTTACAATATACTTATGCCACCATCTGGTGTACTTTGTATCACGTCCAGTGTTCTTCACGATAAAACAACAACTGGTCTCCCAGGTTTGGCCAGGCCAAAACGTTTATCACTAAACACACTGCGGCCACTAAGAGCTAATTCAAACATGTGGGCAAAGTTTGGATCATCAAACTTCCAGATTTGAATGTGATTCCACAGAATAACAGTATAACCGAGTGACCTTCTGGCGATCGCACCAGGCCCGTTGCTTAAGTGACTCCAGATCACGACCCAGAGTCCAACGTGCATGGATTGACTGCTTTTTTGTGAGTAGTTGACTTCCTCAGTACACTCAACCTTCCACGTGCCTATCAGCGGAGGCAGGTTACTCGAGATAATGTTCGGAAGTCCGTGATCAGCATACCACTCGGGCTTTCTGAACCACCTTCTAAGCCTCTGGGTAGTCCCAACAATGTGCAAAGGATTCAGCATTTCATCATGATGTCCTGCACGGGTTTAATCTTGGGTATATCAGCCTAGGTTACGTTCGTGTTGCAAGTTAAGACGAAGATGCTCAAATCAATCACCCATATCACGCCTATTCCGAGGCTGCCGTTTATTCATTGGCTTTCTATGTCATGACACTAATGGACACATCGCTTGCCCACTGCTTGCAAAAGTACAAGCGAAGCAAGACAATCAATTGCCGGAATCACTGAAAGCGCCGCGTACACTCAAGACTTAAAGTGCAAACAGCTGACAACCAAAAGGCGCAATCTCATTTCCCTAATGCTTCGCAACTAGATCACATATCTTCTTTCACTGGCGCGAATTGGCGAGCATGCAATTCGAACCCGGTTTTCCCGCCTATTTAGTTTCCTAGCCTCGTACTTGCGGGTATCCGAAAGGTACGAAGAATCGATGCTGGATCTCTGTGTTTATGCACAGTATGTGTAACTACTTCTCAACCTGACGGGTAGTTCCTTTTCGTATTGCGCATCGATTTCTCGGACGTTTAGTATTCTTCTTGTTGATACATTAGGTTTTCAAATCAGTGTATGACCGATCTCCCAAGATTATTCACGGTAAACTGCGTGGAAGTCACTCCTTTCTGGTCATAAAATCACGAAACATAGTTCCTGTATGCAAAGACCGACCTCTGCAAAATAAGGCAACACGGACTTCCTTTCTCAATTTCGTGTTGTTTTACGACCACGGCTGTGGAAATTTAACAGGTTCGTCGCAACAGATCTTCTGTCTTGATGTAAGTTATCCACACATGTTGTTGAGGGCAGCCATTTCGAGTAAAAGTGATTTTACGAACTACTTCGTAGCATCGAGCTAAGGAACAGTTCAATTACCAGTTGACTTAATGGCCATGAGAAGTGCTTGGCGGAGAAACTTGCGACCGAGGTGATCTGCGCTTGCCATTCCATTCAGAAATATCACAGCTGGTGCAAGCCATACTTTTAGCACCCCAGTCTCTCTCCAGTAATCACCCGGCAGCCCCAGTAGAAACATCAGAGACACTCTTGAAGTGCTCCATAGGTGCAACCTGTAATCAAAAAGCATGTATGCCTAGATTCCGAGATGACTGTGCTTCACAACCCCATGGAGAACTTTTCTCTGTCTCAGATCTCTCAGTCCTAGCATGTTACGCAAAACTAGTGGGATCGTCCCACTGCAGGCGTTCACTGAACCAGCCAACAAGAAAAGGCCGTGGAATTAAATAATGCGACCTCTCCGATACCTATGGCGCAGAAGGACAAATTTTGGCGAAGACCATGGAATTCCAAAAATGAATACACGTGATCGAGGATCTGTACCACCGGCAAACTCTGATGGAAATCGTAGGTGGTAAGACCGGCCACTTGTTATGCGACATGGACGTAAAGACGGAATATCAATAACCAGCGGGTACCGTCGCGACGGTTTGCTTTCTTTCTCCAATCATGGAAGCAGGATACACCCGTGAAACAGCCATCGTTAGACATCCTTCAATGTTTGCAGTTCCAAGTATGCTTTCCAGTATTCGAAATGCGGCGCAAGCATTTCAAATTTTTGTGAATGATGTCATTCGTAGCCTATATATTCGCGTTTAGTCGGTGACAGTTTGATCAAAAGTTCAGATAAGTAGACTAACCTCAAACGTCAGGAGTCGGAATAGAGATATGCACCGCGGTTAGCCCTCAGAAAAGTAAAATGTGAGTCAAGCTGTTCGGCTTCCTGGAGATAATATTGAGAACCAATGTGTACGCCTGATAGTGGATATAGTGGTGGCCATTTTGAAGTCCGGAACCTACTACTGTGGAGCAGCCTCATACAGTTATCCAGATAATCTTTGACAGGTTATATGGTGTGCACCTTTATCATCTATCTGTCTTTAAAATGAATCATTTCCAACAAGGCGTTACAGTTTTTCTACACTCCTTTCCTTCTTTTGAAACGTGCGAAAGAAATTCATCCTTGTGAAAAACTTACATGTAGAAACCTTGAGTATCCATTTTCCTACTATATTCCGTACAGTGATTCAACTTACATAAATCTGCCAATCATCTTTGGGTCATGAAACCTTAGAAGCCAAGAGTGTGAAACTGGTTTAAGTATATAATCACGCCTGTAAACTGGCATGGGGTTGTATTTGCGATGATAAATTATTACCGTTATTATTATTCAGCTGTCTGTTAGGTTTTTACAGAAGGCATGGTTTCAACTATGCCGCCCCTATGATGCCACTTATGTGTCTCTTCAAGAACAAAAAATAAAGCGCAGCTTAACCTTCCCTCCTAAGGGCCACTGAAGCCATCAAATACGCAGCCATGCTCGTGCAGCATCACCTTGGAGCATTTTTGAATATCGATGACGGCGCATCCTGTTGAACAGTCTAGGCCATTGTACAAAAGATGGCAGCAAATAGCATTTTCCTGGAAATAGCTGTAGCCAACCGGAAAACTTTTATTGTATCTTCAGCGTAGAGCTAGTAGTTACGTGCTTTCTCGCGTGTCTCTCGCGACATTCCAGTGAATATCATGGCTTCAAAATTTTCACGTGTCACCAGCCGTTGACATTATCTTCCCACATAGTGTCATTAAACCCCTACCACGATGCAAGTGACACTTAGTTGTGTTTTCCAGCTAACCCCGGAGAACTAAGAAATGTCTGAAGGTACTAAATTTTAAAACAAGTAACAAACGTGACTAAGGCAGGATTTATTGAATTCATAAATTTCGGTTGAACTCATCAGCCCTGTACACAGCCCTACATACACAAGTTTGTATCCTGTCGTGTGATGAAGGAATACATACATGCGTAGTGCACATCATGACATTGACCAAGGCGTGGCAACGCGGAGTGAATCATCTGCTTATGTCAAACAGAGCTAAGATTGGGTTGGGAAGGGGTAAAGAATTGGATGGGTAACATCATTCCGAACGGAACAATCAGTAGCCAACTAGATGGGTTAATAAAGATGCACACTAACAGAATATAGGTGTTAGGTAAACAAAAATATTGACCATGATAGTGATAATACGGGTTAGTGATGGCAACGAAGATGCTTACAATGAAAATAAAAACACCGAAAAGATAAAAAACTACATCATTTTGAAACACGGTAAGTAGACA